CCCCCCCCAAGTTTTGCTATTTTTGTTTTTTGTCCTCGGTCAATTCCTTTTTTTTCCCCTCAAGTTTTGCTGCTATTTTGGGGGAGGCTCCTTTTTGGGCAAAACCCCCCTCTTGCACAAGAGCCGTTCTGCCACTTTTTTCAAGGAAGAACGGCTCTTTCGCAAGAGGGGGTTTTGTGCAAAAAGGAGCCGTGGAGACCCCCCCCCCAAGTTTTGCTATTTTTGTTTTTTGTCCTCGGTCAATTCCTTTTTTTTCCCCTCAAGTTTTGCTGCTATTTTGGGGGAGGCTCCTTTTTGGGCAAAACCCCCCTCTTGCACAAGAGCCGTTCTGCCACTTTTTTCAAGGAAGAACGGCTCTTTCGCAAGAGGGGGTTTTGTGCAAAAAGGAGCCGTGGAGACCGCTGCTTTTTGTGCAAAAGGCCCTTGTGCAAAAATGACGGCTCATTAAGTATGCAAATGAGGCATGGCAATATTCACTGCTTCACCGCATTTGCATATTCTCTTGCATAAGACATAGCCCCCATGTAGCAAAATGTATATTTTAGTATTGGTCATAAGACTATCTGTATGATGCATAAGGATTTGATGTACAATGACTTGCTTGTAAGTTCTGTAGCTTCTCTTTCTCTGTCTCCTGATTAGATAATGCTTCGGGGGTAGCCCAGTTAGACTGTACAGAAGTGGTCGCCAACCTTTTTGAGCATGAGATCACTTTTTGAATTTAAGTGCAATCCAAGATGTACCTCAACTATAAATACCCTTTCCCCACCTCCTTCCCACCCCTTCTCCCAGGCCCTGCCCCGGCTCTCCCCGTCCTCCCGCTCTTGCCCATCCTCACTCACTTTCCTCAGGCTGGGGCAGCGGGTTGGGGTGCAGAATCTGGTCTTGGACTAAGGGATCTGGAGTGCGAGAGGGGTTCTGAGCTGCTCTTGAGTCAGGCAGTTGGGCTGCTGGAGGGGGCTCTAGGTGCAGGCTCTGGGAGGGTGTTTGGGTGCAGGGGTGCTTGGGGCTAGGGCAGGGGCTTGGGGTACAGGAGGGGGTTCATGTCTAGGGTCGGAGTTTGGGATGTGGGCTCCAGCTGGGCTCTGCGGGTGGCTCCTGGGTGGCGGTGCAGTGGGGCTAAGGTGAGCTCACTCCTTCCCTGGGCCTGGACCACTCGCTAAAGCAGCCAGCAAACTCCATCCCACGTCCTGCTGTGCCCCCTCTCCGCTCTGTGGAGAAAGGGTCCAGAGTGGGAGGGGGCATCTTGACATCAGCCCCCCTCCTCTCTCCCCTGCCCTGCACAGAAAGCAGGTGGCTCCCCAGAGGGAGGGGCAGTTCCAAGGCAAAGGGCAGGAGATGAGCAGCGGGGGTGGGGAGGGGCATCTGAAGTGCTGGCACTTGGTAGCCTCTT